CCTCCCGCCAACCGTCTTTCTTCCTGAGTTCCGCCTGCGCAGTCTTCGGTCCTGGGCACGAGACCGCGGCAAAGTACGAGAGGACGTAAAGGCAGGGCGGATCTTTTCACGAGAAGCTCCCCCTCAGTGCCCTCAGTCATCTCACTAGTTTCGGACTCCCAGAGACGTCCAGGCGAAATAAATAAAACCACGAGCCTATTTATTTGTTTTTATTTACTGTACGTCGTGGATCCAGTTGGGCCCAATGTCCAGTACACGGTGTAACCTCAATATTTTCCTTTGGACTTGTGTGGCTGTGCAAATAGTATAAAGCTGATCAAGAGATTGGGTATTTGAGGTGAGCCATTTCTTTTTGTTCCCTTTGCTTTGTTATAATGTAGTTAACAGTAACACTTGTGCTCTTCACTCGCGCCTCAGAGACCCCCCCCCCTCCCCCAGTTCCCCATATATTTTAGTAAATGCTGCTACCTTATACCTTATCCGTTTGTTTAGGTCCAACGATCAAATAGAGAGTTTGACCATTGGATTTTCGATGACACCCATACTAAACTTGCTTAACATTTTTTTGTATTGTCACTCTCCCGACTCGACTCACTCACCTTGAATTATTATTGGGACTTATCCTGATACCCTGAATCTCCCTGTCTTGACACCTTGAGTCTTTTTTCCCCGATTGTTTTATTTACTCTTTCAAACGACAAAACAAGCAATAAGTGGGCACTTCTTTGTGCTGGGATTTGTCACCTTCGGGTAAGAAGACCTAACTGAGATCTCCCTTCTTAATTATAATAAGTTAACGTTAAATTTCCCACGCAAGACCTTTACCCCCACGTTCTAAGGCTACCGAAGAGGCTTACTTAACTCCTTTTCTGTGTTATCATTATCATTGATTCGATGTGCTTCCCACTGATGTGTTGTTGTTTTGGGGCCTATCCTACCACTAATAGTTACTTAAATTAAAACAAAAATAGACTTTGTCCTTTGGGTATATCTTATTTGCTGAAGCTTATGTGGGGACGCCATTATCATTATAGGAATACGAATAGTCAGAGGTGAACGAGCTTGATAACGTAATTTGAATTTACGGTAATCAGATGGCCAAAAAAATTACGCGAGGGAACTTGTTAACTCCTTGTGTTGTGTGTGTACCGGGAAATAGTTTAAATTGAAACTCAAATCCTTTTGGGTGACGTGTTATGCTTCCTTGCAGGGGCGAAGGCTGACTTGTTTGACAGGGTAATCAAAGTGAAACGGTATCAGATATGGCCTGTAGATATCACACAAGAAT